GGTAACCACGGTAGGGAGGGCAGCGGAAATACAAAATTTAATCTCCCAATAGTGATTGCTAGCCCAAGAACACGTACTAAAACTATAGCTAGAGATAGAAACTTATACCTTCTCCGGTAAAGCGGTATGAACGAGAAGTCGAGCAAAAGGTGTTGAAGGAGCAAACGTAGCCGTTCAAGCATCCGGCCTCCAACTTTGACACACGAACAATCTCCGGAGTCTAGTATAATCTTTATGCTAGTAAAGATTATAATAGTTCATTAAATATAATGATTTAAGAGGGATAATATTAATCTTGTATATTAAATAGTAGAAAATATATGAATAATATTTCAAAGAAAATATTATATCAATTTTCTACACCCATAATAATAACTTTGGAACTCAAAATGTTTTTCCTCTTTTTCTCTCTACTTGGCCGAAAAAACCTCTTAACGGAGAAAGAGTATATTATGTTTTAGGATTATGCTATGTGTACCCCAAGATTTGTACCCCAATTTGTACCCCGCAGTTTTACACCAACATTTTGTGTTTGTGTAAAACTAATTTTTGTTAAACGCACCAACATTTGTGTCCGTGTGAATTTTTATTAACGCACCAACACTTGTGTCGGTGTAAACCATCGAAACGTTTGTGCAAACTTGTGGTGTACAAATGGGGTATATTTTTTGGTGTAAATGTAGCATGGTCCTATGTTTTAAAAGGGAATAATGCAAAACATTTTCAAAAGCAAAACTCCAAAAGTACATCCCTTATCATGAAGTGTAGTGGGAGACTATGCCCCACACACACACACCACATTTGTACAGTGTACGAAAATAGAAAGGGGGAAGAATTTAATTCTTCTCCTCTCAAATGTTCAAAGTGTATTTTATTTGACATCAATAATTTTTATGATATAAAATAAAATACCCAAAACATTTTAAAACAAGTATATAAAATATACTTTAAAATAGTTTTTGTCAAAATAATTATTTTCATAATTAAATGACACTCCAAAATAAAATATACTCCAAAACATATTTTGATATATGTATTATTGTTATTACTACACCGTACGTACGCATATAAGTAATAATGCATACATAAATATGCACACCACCATACATACATATATATGATGTAAAAGTATAAAAGTTTACTAAAAAGTAAACGTGATATACACATATATATACATTATTATTATAACAAAAAAAACGTACGTACTAAGTAATAAATACATATACAAAATATATTTACATATTTTATTTTACTATTTTACAATATACAAATTAAATATTATCCCTTTTTATAATCCTACTCTTTAAATTGTTCAAAGTGTGACCCATATAGGCACTTATGAAACTGGCCACAGTATTGACTCTACACCAATACTATAAGTAATAAGCAGTATCTAGCAACACATTATTACCCCCAGATTATAAGTTCAGACGTTTGCTTCGTCAAAACCTTTCTACGACTAAGACTTTGTATAACGTAGATCCTTTTGTCCCAATGTCTTAACTTAGTGCAAGGGATAAAATATCCAACTTGTAGCCATTAAGTTATCTACTGATTAACAAGTCTGACTGATGAGAACAGATGTCTAAACTCATCTCAGCATGGCCATGCATTTCTTCAGTCATACTTATCAGTGGGCCCATAGAAGACATTATTCTGCTTGAGTAGCAGTGACAAATTCTTTGTACGTAATCTACGTCTTCGAATATGTGCAGCGGCATGCCCAATACAAAGCCTGTGTACCATCCTTATTTCATACGGCTTAGGACAATGAATCAAAGCATGCGGGTTCACACATTCGAAGAACGTAATACTTCAAGTCTGAGGATCGTTATACCAATAGTCGCATTAAGGAAACTTAGAGCATAGACTAAAAGTCTAGGCAATGCCCTTAAGGTGGGTCAGGTCTGGCATCCTATTATTAATGATAATATCTGCCCGAGAGTAGATGCGAACACTCCGTCATTGACCAAGAGACTAGGTCAAACATCTAACTCTCACTAGTCTCACACGCATTAACGATATCCTTCTCTCGTTAATGCTTCGACTATAGACCGTTCAAAATTATACTAAGTGACAAGATGTCAGTCTCAACATGAGAAGACTCATTCTGATAAACAACTTATAATATAATTTTAGGAATGGAATTAAGAGTTTACATTAGCATGAGATGTTTGTAAACTTAATGCATTTGCCTTTACATGATAGAAAATATCTAAGATATTACAAAAGCAGTTGGCCATAAGGGCACCAAATCCAACATTTCCTCCTCTGCCTAGTTCTAGACATCTTTCTTCAAATGCCCTATCAAGATAAGCCTAGCCATTCTTTAAGGTATATCAATCTTCGGTGTTATGATCATTCTTCTAGTGGTAGGCACACAGTTTCTCAGTGTTCTCTACATTGCAAACCTTCTCTGAATAATTGGGATAAGTCATTAATCCTTGTTGGGATGCGTGAGCCATCACCTCAGCTTCTCGGATAGTGAAACCCAAGTTATAGGGCTTTGAAACCCTGGAAAGTTTGGTAGATTGTCCCTTTGGCCCCTCTAGGAAACCCTATTTTTTGTTCTTAAAAGTTTTCTTACCCCCCAGAATTATCTTCGTTCTCCCTAGGAGTTTTCTCGACCTTCTATTCTTCTCCCCTTTCCTCTAGGGTCAAGAACCACACGGCATGGACCATTGCTTCTTCAAAATAGTCTGGAGGGTAGGTTGTGAGGTCGGTATACAGGAGTCCTTATGGTGCTACTGTGAACATGGCAAAACTAGACTTGTCATTTGCGCTTCCACTTCCTAAGATTCCTTCCTCTACCAGGCTAAAACGTTCGTCAGTTATTCACCGCACTTCTTCCGTATGGGCGCAAGGTGGGAATAATGTTTATTAGGTTGGCAGTTTCCCATAAGCTGCCCCAAGAATCGTAACCCCAGGTCATCCTATCTCCTGACGGATCTTGAAAGGATGTGGTTGACCGAGTTTGCCAACTTGCTATGCACTATTTTTAGAAAAGAGCGGTACATTAAAGCATTCATGGCCCCAACTAAATGCAGGATCGAGACATAACTATTCACATGCTCTTAGGGATCACACTCTCCATCATATCTCTTGATAAAGAGAACCTTGAAACCCATAAGGTATGGGTCCCCCAATACTTCTGGGGAAAAAGGAGTATTTGTGTGGGTAGTGAATACCCAACCCAGGTTTACATTTCACTGCATGTCCTGGATCTGCTGACGTAGATCCTGGATATCCTCCATTTCTTGCCCTACCGTTACCAGGCGTTGTTGTGTTGGGACCTTGGGCCGACTTTGAACAACATCCTCTTCTTCAATTACAAGATTTCTTGGAACCACACGTGCTCCCCATTAACCTCATTGGTGAGGTTACCAAAGAGATGATTCCACTTGGCTGCCATGCGGTCGTGCCCACCCGCTGCGAGCTCTTCGCGAATTTGGCCTTAGCCTCACAGGGATCCGTCCTTGTGACAACCTTCCAAACATTGTGGCCCTCGGGTTCCTAGTCTCCAAATCACATGGTTGGCCAATGAACCAGGCTATTGGGCGTTCCGAATCGTTGTCCATGGTTCCCTCTAGGTCGCAGTCTGCTTCTCCCTTGTATTTCAGAACAGCTCTACCTCCAGGCATCGGTTGATAGCCTCACGTTCCTTGTCCATCTCCCTTGTATTTCAAGGTTGTCTCCAACCCGGTGGGTGGAACGGTGGCAGGGGTTTGGCCTTTGATTCGCCCCTGGAAACGACTACTCATAGGTCACAGCCATGCGTTTAGGGTTTCAAGTTCTTCGTACAGCCATATTCTCACAACAGTTTTCTCACAACAAAGCTCTCAATGAAAGTATCAATGATGAGATTGAGCCTACTGACTATGGAAGTACAAAGAACGTAAATATGAATAAAAACAAACTCTCAGGGAATATGATCTCAACATTACTAGTATTAGCTTGATTTAACTTGAGTTGCAATAGAGATTTCACCCCTTATTTATTGTCTAAATTTTGCTACATACATGGTATGCAAATCATGTCCTACTTTCTTGACATGATTGGCATGATGTGTGTCAATTGTGAACAGAGAATCACTCGTCAATTACCCACGATTAGTGGGTGATGGGAACCAAGCCCATCGAGAGAGTACTGGCGAATTGGGCCTAGGCCCAATTCGGATCCCATCCATCAAAAGGAGCATCCGGCCCAGGTAAAATGTACCGAGCCGGTCAAAGGAAGGCTGTCCGTAAAGAGAGATAAGAAAAGGAAGAGAAGTGGGGCTTAAGGATGGGCTGAAGCCAGCCTATTAAGGATAAGCTACCCACGAATAGAGGAATCCTATGGGGAGTTTGGGGAGTCCCCCCTTCCACTTGAAGAGACAAGGACGAGAAGAAAGAGACGGACGAAGGACAGGGAGCAAGAGATGGACAGAAGGGTTTGTCCTCCAGTGGACGGCCTCAAGCGGGGATACACTCCCCCTGGAAAGGGCAAGGCTGGCGCAGATGTTCTCCCCAACTACTGCTATTATTGTAGAAGATAGCAGCTGGGGGGTGCCTATAAAAGAAAGAAGGATTGAGAGATTAAGGACATCTTGTAATGGAGAGAGAAAATACTTGAGTAATAATAAAAGATATTCCGGCGATCCTTAAGCATATTCCGTTCTTGAGAGGACCGGATAAAGGAGGGGACCGCCGGTCTGAGTTCTTGTTCCGTGAGCAGTGTTTCCATTACTATTAATTTTTATTCTCGTATTATTCTTTCAATATTATAAGGCCCGGACACCTATATTTGAACCTGGGCCGATCTACAGTCCCTAGGAAAATATTGGGTATCCATCACTGGCGCCGACCGTGGGACCGATTGAAGCTTCCTAGCCTTCTGGGGATTTGATAGCGAGCCTATCCCATTCTTGTTCACTTGGAAAGACCTCTTCCTAGACCTAGGAAGAAACAGCGGTCCACTCGAAGTGAAGGAGATAAGTTCGCGGTCCATCCAGAAGGGCTCCTCATATTAGTCGGTCCATTATTCAAAAAAAAAAGGTTTTACCAAGAAAAGGTTTCCAACTGTCACCATGGGCAAAAATCGGTCCAGGAGGAACAAAATGGCTGCTAAGGCGCGAACCAACTTGGAAGGGAAAGATAAGCTTTCATCTCAGGATCTCAGACACCAAATAACTCTCTCCCAATCCAGGCGTGAAACACAAGACAAATCTTGTGAACAGAGTTTCCACTCTAAAGCCCCTAAGAGTTCTCATCCAAAGGATCCTCAAGCAGCAACAGGAAAATTCGACGAGAACTCCCCCATAGTACGAAAGTTAATCGGATGGCTCAACAAGGAAGGAGAGGCCCGGTCCCAAAGGACCGGGAGAGAAACGGGTCAAGAAGAGGATGAGGAGGTGGAGAGTCAAGGGCGCATATCAGTACACAAGAGGATGCGCAAAAATGCGTCCCAAAGGTTGGGACCCAGAACTGAGGAATCTGGAGAAAATTCCGGGGGACACGGCAATGAAGATGCCGGAGACATTCTCAAATTGAGAAAAGAAATGGAGGAACTAAAGAGGCAGGTTGACAAGGACGGGTCTTTTGGACCCACAGTAGAGATAATTTCTGCCAGAGTGATGAAAGCTCAACTGCCCAGGGGTATGAAAGCCCCTGAAATCCGTTATAAAGGAGTCACCGATCCCAATGATCACTTGGCCGCGTACCAAACTCACATGTTGATGCACGCCGTGGAGGACGAGATCCAATGTCGCCTCTTCGTAGGAACCTTGGAGGGGCCGGCCGTAAAATGGTTCCTCACCCTTCCTAACGGGACCATTGATTGCTTCAAAGATCTTGCTCAACTTTTCCTCAACGCCTATGGAGGAAGGTTCCAGCCAAAGAAGCACTTCACCCATCTTTTCTCCCTAAAGCAAAAGGAGGGGGAGACCAACAGTGAATTGGTACAAAGATGGAATGAAGCAATCAATGAGGTGGAGCCTACGGACGATAAGACTTCCATTGCTCTGTTCATGAATGTTCTCAGGTCGGGGGAATTGTTCAGGAAGTTAGATTACGATACCCCTACTTCTTACAAGGCTATGATGGCTAGGGTTAACAAGTTCTGCGCCAGGGAAGAGTCGGATCGCCTGAAAGGAAAGAGTGAGGGAGCCTTGCATAAAGGTCCCGACAAAGAAAAGAAAGGAGAAAAGGCCAAGGCAACCACTCTCTCCATCCCTACCCTCAAGTCACTGGCCGCACCGGTGGCAGAAATTAAGAGCAAGGAGGAAGGTGGACAGAAGAGGAAACGTGGAGACCAAAAAAGGAGGCAGTGGCCCTATGACCCAAAAAAATATTGCAACTTCCATAGAAGGCTTGGACATGCCACCGAAGAATGCCATTTCCTCAAAAAGATGGAAGGAGAGATGAAGGACAAGGAACCAAATGCTAATCGGGAGCCGAACCAAGGAGGTAATGTTTGGCGTAGGGACGCCCAACCTCAACAACAAGTCCAGGAGAACCCGGAGGAATTCCCCCAAGTAGGAGTCATCTTTGGCGGTCCCGAAACAGGAGTCACAAGCAAGGAGAGGAAGGAATGGGCTCGCAAGCTATATGTGGGGTCCATTGACATAGGCCAAGCTGCCAAGAGAGGAAGGAGGGAGCCCATTGTCTTCTCAGATGAAGATTTACCACTCATTCCTAGCCCTCATCGGACTCCTCTGGTAATTTCTATGGCTATTCATAAATTTTTTGTCAAAAGAATATTGGTGGACACTGGAAGCAGTGTCAATGTGTTGTACTGGGAGGCGGCCCAGCAATTGGGAATCAGGAAGGAAGATCTCACAAAGCTTAACATGCCCTTGTCCGGTTTCACTGGAGGCATAATTGAACCGGAAGGGTCCATTAAATTGGACATCATCATAGGCGAGCATCCTATGGTGAGGCAAATGAGGATGGATTTTGTGATGGTTGATATCAAATGTGCTCACAATGCCATCTTAGGGAGGCCTGGGCTAGAGGACTTGGGAGGTGCACTATCCCTTGAGCACCTGTGCCTCAAGTTTAGGACTCCCGAAGGTGTTGGGAGGGTCCTTGGTGATCAGCTCGCAGCCAAGAAGGCCTATCTAAGTGCTTGCAAGAGGATAGACAAGGAGAACCTCAACATCCAAACCATTGGGCAAGTTTTGGAAGATAAAGAAAGGAGAGAGGAGGACCGGGAGAGGCCCAAGCCAGCTGTGGACATGGAAGAAGTGGTGCTATTCCCGGAGGGAGATCCGGAGAAGGTTGTGAGAATTGGTTTAGGGCTAGAGGAGAATACCCGTGAAGAGATCATCCGAGTATTAAGAGAAAACTCGGTCCTCTTCGCATGGGAATCCAAGGATATGCCCGGAGTTGATCCCTCGGTCATTTGCCATAAATTGAACATCAAGGTGGACTCCCTCTCGGTCAAGCAGAAGAAGAGATATCTGTCCACGAACAGAAAAGAATTTGTGAGGAAGGAGGTGAAAACCCTTTTGGAGGCCGGCCACATCAGAGAAGTCCAGTATCCCAAGTGGCTTGCCAATGTGGTGCTGGCACCAAAAGGGGACACATTTCGCATGTGTGTGGACTTCACTGACCTCAATAAAGCATGTCCTATGGACCCCTTTCCATTACCAAGAGTAGATTAGCTAGTAGATGAAACGGCGGGCCATGAACTGTTGAGTTTCATGGATGCCTTCCGAGGATACCATCAGATTTTCATGCACAAGGATGATGCCGAATCCACAGCCTTTATCACCCCTGAAGGAGTATATTGTTACGTGGTCATGCCTTTTGGGCTGCGTAACGCGGGGGCCACATTTACGAGAATGATCTCTTTACTATTTAAGGAGGTCCTGGGACAGATCATGGAGGCCTACATGGATGACTTACTGATCAAAAGCAAGCAGGCAGCGGACCATCCCCAACACTTGGAAAAATGCTTTAGCATCATGAGGAAGCATAATTTGAGATTGAACCCCAAAAAATGTGCCTTTGGGGTCCAGGGAGGAAAATTCCTTGGTTACATGGTGAGCAAGAAAGGGATTGAGGTCAATCCGGACAAGTTGAAGGCCATCCAAGACATGGAACCACCAACAAATTTGAGAGAAGTCCAGAGATTAGCAGGGAGGATAGCGGCCTTAGGAAGGTTCTTGGCGCGGTCCGCGGAGCGGTCCCTGCCCTTTTTCACAATTTTAAAGGGAGGGGGAAACTTCATGTGGACCGCAGAGTGCCAAGAGGCCTTTGAACACTTGAAGGCATATTTGAGCTCTCCACCGGTCCTCTCCAAGCCATTAGCAGGGGATGTCCTTTTCTTATACTTGGGGGTGGCCCACCTGGCAGTGAGTTCGGTCCTCTTGAGGGAAGAAGAAGGAGTTCAAAAGCCAGTTTATTACACAAGCAGGGCCTTAAGAGGACCGGAAACAAGGTACACTCCCTTGGAAAAATGTGTTTTGGCGGTGGTGGTAACTGTCAAGAGGTTAACTCCCTATTTCCAAGCTCACCCAGTGAGAATCATGACGGACCAGCCTTTGGGAGCGGTTTTGAGGGACCCATCTTCTTCAGGAAGGGTCATCAAGTGGGCTATGGTCCTCTCCCAATATGATATTTCTTACCAGCCCCGTTCTAGCAAGAAGGGCCACGTAATTGCCGATTTTATGGTGGAATGTACAGCAAGAGGAAAGCCAGAAGAGGATGGGACCGGTCAGGAGAGAGAAAAGGAATTATGGGAGATTCATTCAGATGGATCCTGCACCAAAGACGGTTCAGGAGGAGGAGCGGTCCTCACCTCCCCTGAAGGCTTCAAGGCTTATCATTCCTTTAAGTTCACATTTCGGGCCACCAACAACGAGGCAGAATATGAGGCCCTCATTGGAGGAATCCAGATTGCCTTGTTCATGAAGATAAAACACATTCGCCTTAAATCCGATTCAAAACTGGCCATCGGGCAGCTAAAAGGAGAGATGGAGGCCAAGGAAGGAAGGTTGAAAAGATACAGGGACTGCGCCAGGACTCTACTTGGACAATTTGAATATTATGAACTCATATATGTTCCAAGGGAGGAGAATGAAGAAGCGGATATGCTTGCCAAATTATGTAGGACCATTCCCATCCACATGGAGAGTATGGTAAGGCAGCACGAGAAGATTTGTCCTGTTTGGGAAGAGGCGGTCCCTGTCCTTGAGATATCTGGTCCAGGTACAACTTGGATGAGCCCCCTGATCACATACCTTGAAAAAGGAGAGCTCCCTATTGACCCCAAGGAGGCCCGCAGAGTTCAATTGATGGCTCCCATGTATCAATTGGATGGAGTAAAATTGTATAAAAGGACCTTGGGTGGACCGATGCTCAAATGCTTGAGTGAGAGAGAAGCAAGAAGAATATTGGAAGAAGTACACCAAGGAGTCTGTTCTGCTCATCAAGGTGCCCTTACTCTAGCAAGAAAGGTGATACTCCAGGGGTTCTATTGGCCCACTTTGAAGAAGGATGCACTGGAATTGGTAAGGAAATGCCCAACTTGCCAAGCATTTGCACCAATCTCTAGACGCCCATCCACCTTTTACACCCCTGTCACTACAGCCATCCCTTTTGCTAGATGGGGGTTGGACTTGGTGGGTCCTTTCGTCCATGGGGCTGGAAGGAAGAAATTTGCCATTGTGGCGATAGATTATTTTACTAAGTGGATCGAGGCGGAGGCCCTCGTGCGGATCACGAAGGAAAACTGCCGTAAGTTTGTGTGGAAAAATTTGTTGTGCAGATTTGGTGTTCCTAAGCAAATCATAACAGACAATGGCACCCAATTTGCTAACACAAGTTTCAAGGAATTCTGTGGTGCCTGGAAAATAAAACTCAGTCGGGCCGCTGTAGCTTATCCGCAATGCAACGGGCAAGTGGAAAATGCTAACAGGACGATTGTGGATGGTATCAAGAAGAGATTACACGAGTTAGGCACGTCTTGGTGGAAGAGCTGCCCTATGTGTTGTGGGCCCATAGGACCACTCCGAGAAGAGCCACAGGAGAGACTCCCTTTGCCTTGGCTTATGGCTTCGAGGCAAAAGTACCTACGGAGGTATTGGTCCCTAGTATGAGGGTGGAAGCATACACCCCAATCATCAATGAGCAGTTAATGGAAGTAGATTCCCATTTCACTCAAGAAAGAAGGGATGATGCGGCAATTAAAGCGGAAGAGTACTAGCGGCAATCCAAAAGGTATCATGACAAAAAAACTATACTTCGGGCATTCGAAGTAGGCGATTGGGTTCTGCGTAAAAGGGAGAAGAGTCAGCCTACCAAAGGAGGGAAACTGGCCCGGAATTGGGAAGGACCGTATCGCGTGGAGAAAGTGGTGCGTGTCGGCACCTATCAACTGGCCACTGCCGAGGGAAAGACATTGGACAACTACTGGAACATAGAGCATTTGAAGAAATTCTACCAGTAGGAGCGGGTCCGTCTGAGTTTCTATTCCGTTAAAAGCATTTTATTTAAGGTGTTTTCTTTCTTTTTTTATGTTGAAAGGGGCTGTACGTTGCAAAAAAGAAAGGAAAGGGAGTTTTGTGTCCATAATCTGTCCAGGAGTTCTTGAAAAAAAAAATATACAGGAGGGAGGACCGTCCCTAAGAAATAAAATTAGAACAGAAACATTCAAACGGGCAAGTCCTTACAATGATGAGCAGAAATTAATACAAGAACACAGGAGGACCGTTCCTAAACAAATGGCAGTGATTCAAGATGGGGGAGGGGAGTGGAGAAAAGAGGGCTCTGGTCCCATGGGTCCTGGGATGCCTGGGAACTTCAGCCAAGGATCTTGCCCATCAGAATAGGGCTCTAGGCCATGATAAAACTTCTGTTGGACCTCCAATCCTCCACGATAGAAACCTCTACCGTAATCGGAGATGTAATCGGCCTCCATTCGAGCCATATGTCCCTTATATGTAAGACGTTCATTCTCGAGTGAGCGGCGGGCCTCATCAAGCGAACTCCGGGCTGAACGCCTCTCCTCCATAAGGGTTAGGTTTAGCTCGTCAACCCGTTGAGAGAGTCGACGTTCGGTTTCTTCATGCTGGAGACGCCACCTCTGCTCAACCTCTTCCGCCGCCCTCCTTGCCTCTTCCTCGGATCGGCGACGCCACGTTCGCTCCAGCTCTTCCTCGGATCTCTTCCGGTGAAGTTCGGCCTCCTCTCGAACTTGCAATTCACGCTCTCTGGCTTGCCGCTCCAAGTCCCTCCTCAGAGATTCCTCACGCTGTCCAACCTTGGCCGAAAGCCGCTCGCGGTCAGAGTAGAGCTGGTCGTTCTCCGACAAAACCCGATCGTATTCCGGGCGCTCGACACAAATAGAGTGCCGAGATTTGAAATCCCGCAGCTCCTTTGATAAAGCAGCATTGCGGTCCAACAGGCGAAGAGAGTGGCGCTAGGCAGAGGAAGTGGCAACATAATCGGCCTATCAAAAGAGGAAGAAAGTAGAAGTTAGCGGTCCTAAAAGGCATGAAGGAATAAGTGGAAAACTTAAAACGAGAAGGAGGGGGACACTTACCATACGAGTATACTCCTCCTGCATAAACGGCCAGACTGGGCTGTGAATCACATCTGGATGGTCCCTTTTAAGCTGTTGTATCTCTTGAAGCTTGCTGTTGAAATCCCGTCCAACCCAAGCCGTGTACCCTGTGTACTGATAGACCTCCCGGGCATAGGGAAAAGGCTGACTCCCTTGCCCGGTAGGAGACCCATCGCCAGCGGTCCCAAAGAGGTGATCAGCGGACACCAAAGAGCCTGGGAGAGGAGTGGAATTCCGGCCCCTCTTGTGATGGGCCTGGGAAGAAGAAGAAGACCCGGTCTCCTGAGTTGATGGACCGTGAACAACAGTGGGACGGACGGATGAGGGGACAATAGCCTTCCCAAAACTGGAGGACCGAATTAACTCCTCCGTCTCCCTAAAAGATCGATGGATATTTGCTCCAGGGAGAGGAATACCGCCCTGACCAAGGGGCGTCCCAAAAATACTCTCCGCCGCTGACTCTGCAAAATTTAGAGCGGTGGACGGTTGGGGCTGGGAAATTGCCTCATTCCCCCCACAGCCGGAGGAGGGGGAATATTCCCATGGAGATTCAGTGCTGCACGGAATCCCAATCCCGGCCACCTGGACATGTGGCGGTTCAAGGGACCCTTGTGAACCGGTGGCGCGCCCAATGGGCAGGGTCCCACTGGGTTGAGGATGGAAACCCAACGGGCCCATGAACTGAGCAGAAGGAGAAGTCCCCCTGCCAAAAAGAGGAATATGGGGAACACCGGGGATAAGACCGGATCCCCTCAAGGTCCCCGGAGGGAAGTCATAGAGGCCATCATCGTCGGACGCGTCCTCGACCACCACCTCTTCCGAAAGATGAGGGCGGTCAGCAAGTAGCATAGGTTGGGTCCCAGTCACGGACCCAGCCTCTTCGCCATCGGTGTCCTCCTCCGGGGAAGGATCCCTTCGAGAAGATCGCCGGCGGAGTCGAGTGCTCCTGAAAGGAGGAACCCAAGAGGAAGTCGTGTTTCCCGACGGCTCTTGAAGAGGAGTATCGGGAGACACCTAGTATCTGAGACCCCGGAGGTTTGAATCCTTGAAGAGAAGCGCTCGGGGAACTGGATAGCCGTTCTTGAGAAGGAGACGGTAGATCCCATCAAGCTCCGAGTCACGCAGAGGAAAAGTATGAGAAGGAAATTTGTCTTCCTTCTTTCGCCACACATGGGGGAAGGGGAGGTTCTCCGGGACTACCACCACAAAGAAGCGGCGGAACCAGTCATCAAGTTTGTCAACAGGGCTGTCCAAAAACTGCATATCGGTCCGGGCTGTGAAACTCACGTACCCCCGGCCCAACTCACTGTCGTACTTGTGTGGACGGAAGAAAGAGTGGAAGAGCTTCAGAGTGGGTTGGATGCCTCTCTTGTGACACCGCGCCAAGAAGCCAAAAAGACTCTCGTGGGAGTTCGAGGAAATCTGGCCGGGAGGAATGGCGTAGCGGTTGCAAAGCTCAATCAAGAGGGGATGAAGAGGTAAGCGACATCCCATCCTAACAGAGTCGTAGTGGACGACCAATTGGCGGGAGATGTCAGGATTGCGCTCCAAAGTAGTACCCGTGGCTTCCTGGACGCCATAATCAGGAGGAATGACTCCCCTCATCTCCCCCAATTGCGCAGGAGTGATGGAGGAAACATTCTCGTCCTCCTTGGATTTCTTTGTGCCGTTGAAGATCTTGGAAACCTTGGAGATTGTCTTCTTCATGGCGAGAGAGAATAAAGATCGAGGAGGAAGGCTAGTTCGGCAGAGGATGAGGGAGCAAGGAATCACAGAAGTATGAGAGCGTGAGAAAAGAGAAGAGAGGGACCAGATTTATAGAAGAAGAGAAGAAGAAGAGGAAACGCTTCACCCTTAAATGTTCCAGTGCAGCAGTTAAGGGAATCAGAGGGACCGGTCAAAAAGGGTTTGGAAAAATGGGCCATGGACATTTAAGTGGCGCAGACTTCCAGACGGTCCACACTGGCAATTCCCCAGGCCTGCGGCCCTCTGTTGCCATCCCTTTTTCCTGCTATGGTCAACCATTATTAAGGTGACGTTGGCCATTGGCACCCCAGGCAGTAATTGGAGAGATATGCGGCACCACGATCCAAGGAGTGTGTGGCCAAAAGACAGTCCAGTCAACCAATTATTCATCCAAGGCCCGTGGCCCGCAAAGATGCGCTACAGAAAACATCCGGAGTAAATACAAAGTGAATGATGGGGTTTTTCCCCAAAGAGAGGATCTTCGTCAAAAAGAAAAAAGGGGACAGAGGAAAAACTTTCTAATAAAGCATGCGAGGAAGACTACAGTCAAAAAAATTTTTATTTTTCGACTTGTAAAAAAAGGGGCATGTGATGGGAACCAAGCCTATCGAGAGAGTACTGGCGAATTGGGCCTAGGCCCAATTCGGATCCCGTCCATCAAAAGGAGCATCCGGCCCAGGTAAAATGTACCGGGCCGGTCAAAGGAAGGCTGTCCGTAAAGAGAGATAAGAAAAGGAAGAGAAGTGGGGCTTAAGGATGGGCTGAAGCCAGCCCATTAAGGATAAGCTACCCACGAGTAGAGAAATCCTATGAGGAGTTTGGGGAGTCCCCCCTTCCACTTGAAGGGACAAGGACGAGAAGAAAGAGACGGACGAAGGACAGGGAGCAAGAGATGGACAGAAGGGTTTGTCCTCCAGTGGACGGCCTCAAGCGGGGATACACTCCCCCTGGAAAGGGCAAGGCTGGCGCGGATGTTCTCGCCAACCACTGCTATTATTGTAGAAGATAGCAGCTGGGGGCGCCTATAAAAGAAAGAAGGATTGAGAGATTAAGGACATCTTGTAATGGAGAGAGAAAATACTTGAGTAATAATAAAAGATATTCCGGCGATCCTTAAGCATATTCTGTTCCTGAGAGGACCGGATAAAGGAGGGGACCGCCGGTCTGAGTTCTTGTTCCGTGAGTAGTGTTTCCATTACTATTAATTATTATTCTCGTATTATTCTTTCAATATTATAAGGCCCGGACACTTATATTTGAACCTGGGCCGATCTACATTCCCTAGGAAAATATTGGGTATCCATCAGTGGGATGTGGGATTGGCGCTCCACTCATTTCCCAAATCAAGCCAAGGCCTAATTATTTAGATCACGCTTGCCACCGTCCGATCAACACATAAACCGGTCCCTAGCATCAAGTCGGGCCTAACATCGTATTGGGCCCTGAAAAACACATTGGGTCTTATTCTTTCTACTCACCAGGCCCGATATCCGTAAAAAAACATGTTAAATTATGCCATGTACACAACTAACATGAGTACTAATCCCCCCGAACTGATACTTGTCACCAATATTCATTTAGTTTTAAGTAAACGTTCATTGCAATGCATTACCCTTGAGGGAGAAACACGGTATGATGTTAATTCTCCGCAACTATCTTGATGATACAATAACCAACACACTATCAAAGCACAGCGGGTCTCTAACTAGTGACTCCTAGTACGCTCACGTTGAGATATCAAATGATGTATGTCCAAATTTAGGGTCATGTTAAGGTCACGATTAAGTGTGAACCAAGCTTGCTCCTACCCTTGAAACAGATTCGGTAGAATCTCTTCACAATGAAACTATTCCTTTCCTTCCAATCTAAATTGTCTGGTTATTATTTACAAGATCAAACTTTTACTATGTTCTTTATCCATTTTTCAGAACTCATTTGATAAAATAATAATAGTCTTGTCACTCTTGCATACCAATTTTTCACTAAATTGAATTAAAGATAATTTCAGTCGAACCTCGTAAACAATATAACATGAAACGATTCAAATTACGGCAGAGGGAGTTCTTAAATACCCTGCAACTGTAGGAGTATGTTGCAAACAGGGGCATGATGTATTGTGCACGATGAAAAGTACGCTTCAATTGTGAAAGGGTCATGCTACAATTACACCACAAATTGTACACGATTTGTACACCGCAATTATACACAAACATTTTGATGGTTTACACCGACACAAGTGTTGGTGCGTTAAAAAAAATTTACACGGACATAAAATGTTGGTGCATTAACAAAAGTTAGTTTTACACCAACACAAAGTGTTGGTGCAAACTTGCGGGGTACAAAGTGGGGCACAAAAATTGGGGTACAAATAGCTTTATCCATTGTGAAAATGTGAATCAATTGACCAATGCATTACTGAAAAGTGAAGACCCGGTGCAGTCAACTTACTTTGGGCTAGGTCATTTGCACAAAATATCATTTCTTTAGCAAATTCAATAATAATGTGTACAGAAAGTCCAAAACTGAAAACCACTAATAGTATGTTTGGTTCAAGAAATTTGAAAGAGAAAAGAAAAGAAAATGAGAGGAAGAATAATTTCTTTCATGTTTCGTTAGAGAGGAAAAGAAAAAAAAATAAAAGGAACAGAAAATGGGAAGGCAAAATGTATTAAGAGAAAAAACAAAATTCCACCCATTTTGGCGAGGAAATTGAAAAAAATTCATTTTCTTTTCTTTTCCTTGCAATTTCTTTCAACCAAACATAGTGTAAAGCTGCTCAACAAAACCGCATGATCTACTTACTGAAAAGCAAGAATAAAAGATTGCTGATGAATGTACAGTGCTCAGCTTTGAATAATAATTTTTCAGTTTTTGTCTATACCCATGGGAATGTGACCTCCCAATGCTACAAGAGATGATCAGTAATAACAGATGATTGAGCTTCAACAGATGTAGCCATATTTGTTGTATGGCGGGATTTGGCCTTCACCGGATTTTTATTTTTCCCCTCTTGACGGTGACCAAGGCAGCGCTTGCTCTTCCCCAAATCTAGATTCTCTTTGGTCTTGATATTGGCCGAGCTATCAACTAGTTCTGATGCCTTATCTCTGCTAGACCTATTCTTATCTTTTCTCTTGTTTGATGATAACTTCGCAGGCTTACTGCGTGAAGTAGATGCTTTGAAATCATCATTCTCTTTAAGAACTTCTTGAACTGCCCCCAATAATAAATCCTCTTTTGACTCGTGCTTCTTAGATGGAACAAGAATTCCATCAACATCATCCAATCTTACAACCACTGGCCTAGACTTTGCTTTATTTGCTTTCCGATTCGGCAGGAAAGATTGCTCTGTTAGCTTTATAAGTTCCACAGTCTTGCCAGTAACTCCCATAGTAGGATCATTGGCAGGAGGGTAGTTATCACCAGGTGTTGTCTGCGAAGTTAAGTAATACAATCCATGCCTCTTACGATGCTCTGCAAGTAGAGACTTCAACTGATTTGTTGGTTCATATTCTTCATCATCTTGGCAATCTAAAACTTGACTTTCATTCTTTTCAACAAGATTGGGTCTTCCGAGGGAAAATGGTCCGGACATGGGCAACATAACATCACCACCACAAATTGTGTCTAAATCTTTGAGATTTTCATTAAGAACTAGTGCATCTGGTAGAGGTACCCTTTCCTGTGAAACAACAGAGACTGGAACTAGTTCCTCCAAAAAAGCACCACTCATCAGTTTGATAATTTCACAAGCCTTCATTTCTCCAATTTCATCATCACATTCCTTTCGGGACAAGAAAGCAGGATATTCTTCCTGCAGCAATTCAATCAAACCTATAACATTCCTTGCGCTCTCCTGTATATCCACCTCATGACTTCCTACCAATGGACACAAACCTTCTTCTACAAGATTGAGAAGGTTTATAATAGATTTTTCTGCAAATGAGCCTGCTTTCAATATCTCTGTAAATGTCATCTGTTCATGACCAATAGAATTTACCATAAACATATCGCCAGCAGGCTGATGTGAAGTCCCTGGATTGATTCCATCATCTGTTTCACTGCCAGTTGGTGAGGCGCTAATACGTAAATCACAGTATTCTGCCTTATTTAGGGTTGAATGTGTTACTCCAGCAGTACTAGTCTGATCTGAGCAGAGATAGCGACCAGTACAAAAGCTCAACACCTTGAGTATAGACTGGATATACACAGCTCTTATTGAAGGCGCCAAGAGACTAGTTCGTGGTTGTAGCAATGCCTCAAGAAGTTCATGTGGATTTTTCGAGAACTGAATATACTCTCCCGACACCCAAGCAGCAGCAGATAATATATGGTGTACAAAATGGTTTCCAAGCAAAGCAGGATCAATCAACAGATCACGGCCAACCCGAACAAGTTGTGGTCTAGAATCTCTCACCCTCATACTAATATCTACAAGTTGGTTCTCAATTTCTCCCCCCTTGTGACAATGTGGAAGTCTTGCCATTTCTCCAAGAAGTGATACATACCAGTCAAAATCAAGAATTATCTCATAGATATTTCTTGAACACATAGATAAGATGGACCCAAGAATCTCATTACAAAATTCTGGATCTGATTTGAGAGCATAATTTATTAGAACCCTACAAATTTCTACTACATTATCCTGAGACACCATTGTCATCACAAGCCTTAAAGCCTCAAGCTTAATATTCACATCAATATCATTCAGAGATTTGATCACAAACTCCTTGTTCTCCGAAACTGCCCATAAGTGTTGAGGAACAAGAGTTGCAAGTGCTTGTAGCCCAAGATACTTTAGATTTGGATCATCATCAGTCATGAAATCAGCTAACTTCTCAATGGAAAGATTCACAGCACATTCAAACTCATTCAGACTGCTCATTATAGTCCTAATACACTCAAAAACCAACGACTTTGCCTTTGTCCTTCTCAAATGCCCACAAATTGGATCCACCAGCCTCTTGGCCAGCCTTGGCTCCAAGGGTGCCAACTTCGCAAAAATCTTCAAAACCTTAATCAATAACCAATTGTTTATTGGGTCCACTAAAATCTTATAAAACTCGGGAGCCAAGGGTAAATACAATCTATGGTCTTTAGTGGCTAGTTCACAGAGAACACCCACAATGGCGGACACAACACCAGGTTCAGAACACTCCATGTTATCAACCAATCTCTTGAAATAGACTCTGACAGAATCAGGGTAAAGATCGAATATTCTCAATACAGTCGCAATTGCTTTCTTTTTTATGATATAGTTGTTACTACTGAGTAAAGAGAACACTTCAGGAGTCAAATCACGGGCCAAGTCAAGAGTGGAGATGGAAGAGAGAGCGTGGAGGGCAAGACTGACCTCATGATGATTAGACGACGAGAGGTCCTTGCGGAGCTGATGGGTGAGCAGAAGGATGACGTCAGTGGTGGACGGGTCGAAGGAGAGCGTGGCGGCAAGGTACGCGATGCGCTTGTAGAAAAAGGATTGAGCAGAAAGCTCGATGGCGTGGAAAGCCGCCCAGGACATGTTGACGCCATGGAGGGAATGGAGGTAGGTCAGTTTCTGAAGCGCCGTCGCCTTCGTCTGAAGATCCGTAGACTTGATCTCGCGGCGGATCTCGTCGACGGACTTGGTGATAAAACCCAATTCACCCTCTCCACCGCTGAAGAGCCGGATGCCCTTAATTAAGTCAGCTAATGATCGCTGAAAGAGGGAATCCATCAGCGATGGACCTGCCATAGCCATTACAGCTGCGAACACTCTCCCTCTATGCTATATCCATGCGGGTCTATATGCATAGATTGAACGCAAGAGTCACAGGCAAGCTGGCCGTCGGTAATTTGGGTTAGCGCAGACGCGACCGGTCGAGTTTTGATCTGACGAAATGGGAAGAATTTATGGAAAAGGGCAGAAAAAGGTTGGAATTTATGACAATGCCCGCCTAGATCTAACACAGATTTGCGTGAGGTGCGTCCGCTCTACTTGCGTAAAATGAGGAGAAATGACATGAAGGCCCTTCCAACCAATAAACAAAATGTCACTGTTTATGACCGTTACTTCAAAAATTAAACGAAAATATTAAAATTAACGACCAGCCGTTAGGTTGCGTTCGAAGCGTCATGATGATTTTCGGAAAGGCCAAACGACGTTGTTTGAAGCGCCAACCCCTCCTTAATCCCCCGACCAATCTTCGGAAACGATACGCCTTCATCAATCGAAACTCTTCTGCTCTTCGTTCTCCATTGCATATCGTCGTCGGATACCTTCAAGAACTACCACACATTTGTTTGCCATGGAGAACACCAGAGCAAGTTGCAGGTTCCAGTACAAGAGAAGAAGAACTCTCACCCAAACACGAAGGGAGGAGATGGAGAATGACAACCAGGTATTTTCAAATAATCCTCACTTAAAATTAACTAATTTTGGTTTTATTTTGAACTATTTGGGATTGGCGTCAGATTTCTGCTGAGGTAACTCCATCTGTGGAGGGTCAATCGTTCCTGGATGCTTCAGAAATTGAGGTGCATTGCATGTACACTAAAATGTAACATTTAAAGTTTATTTTCTTTGTTTATGAAACATTCAGAAACAGAACAAGTTATTCGACCTTGGAAATAATTAATATAATGTTACAGTAATTGGTTATTGCCGAATTCAATCGAATCTATTTTTTGATTATTTCTTGATTTTAATTCTAGGTTCCAGCGTTGGATTGCACCATTGATATTGATAAAATACCTGGAATGAAGTTAACCCTGAAATCTTCTTTGGGGGGAGTTCCAGAATCTGATGGGCGAAGGACTTGGAGATCATCTAGAAGTCCTTGCTTTGTTTAGGGAGAACACCCCTTTTCCTCCTTTTTTGGATGTTGAGTGTATTCCTCCTCCTCTGTTCTTATGGAAACTCATTGCGAGGGAAGCCAACTTAAAGAGGAAAAGAGAGATGTGGTTTGTTGTCAAAGGAGTTCTTGTCACGTACTCCTTGAGGGAGTTTTCACTCATAAGCGACCTCAACTGCTCTCACCTTAACGCCGGCTTTGAAAATTCTAAGGAATTAACCTCTGCAAAGAATGATTTCATTCGAGCTCACTTTCCTTCTGCAAAGAAGGGAAAGAAATTTGCTGCAGTCACATACAAGATGGTTGTGCAGCGTTTCTTGGACATTTGTAAAGGCTTGGACAGGGAAAAGAAGAAAGAAGGCCAGGAGATGGATGCTGTGAAAATGGCAACACTATTGTTTGTTGTTGTTTTTCTCTTGGGTCCCGCTGATCGCGACAAGTCTGCAATTCCAGATTGGATTCTGGGCATGATTGCACAGTGGACAACAGTTCTAGATTTCCCATGGGGAACCTGGGCATTTATGGAGTCCTTGGGGTCACTGAGGAAAGACCTAGCTGCTAAGGCCAAATCAATTGCAAGAGGGGCCTCATCAACCATGTACTATACTGGTTTCTTGCTTCCCATTGGGGTAAGGATTTTTTCAATTATAATATTTCTTATAATATTTATTGAAATGTGATCTCATTGAAACTTTCAATATGAAAAGATCCTTTTTCTGGAGAGTTGCTTGGGGACTGGAACAAATATTACAACAAGAAGGCCACAGACATCCCCAGCTAGGCCAAGAATCTGCCTTTGGGGCGAGATTCCAATAAAGAAGAAAATCACCCACACAGAAATGGAAGCTTACGTTGGGGACGTGCAGGTATATACATATTATTGGTCAATAAACATTAAAAATTTAAGGAATTCCAAAAATAAAGTGTCATTGTTTTGGTTGCAGGCTTTACAGAGCATTCTTGTTCTCGACAAGTTTGAGGCTACTACAGAGTGGTATTTGAACATCCATCCTCTCGAGACCATATCACACCCTGAGTTGGATGCATTTGTGGCAAAATTAGAGGGTAGAGGGGAAGTCCACATTCTGGTGGAGAGGAAGAGAAAATTCCGGAATGTCCCTTCACCAACAAGAGATAATTCTGTAGAGCATAATGAGCACATCTCCTCTCCCCAAGCATCTCAGAGGAGTCAGAGCCTTAGGGAATCTCCTTCTAGAGTCTCCCATTCCAAAATCTCAACTCCATCGTCTCCTACCCCTCACCCCACCAAGCCTTCATCCAATTTCTTTCAAGAACTCTTTGATCGAATGCCAAAGAAAATTGATGACATTGCAGAAGAACAAAAAAAGAGGTTTGAAGTGCTTGAAAAAAAAGTTAATGCTTTGTCAACTTTAATAAATCAAAAGATTGTGAATAAGGTATGTTAAAGCTTTTGAAAGGTCATCCAATAATTTTAATTGATCACAACTGATATATTCTTATGTAAACATATGAAGGTGAATGTAACTGAATCAGGAGAAGAACCAACAAAGACTCCACTAGAGGTAAGTCGAATACCGTCGAATATATACGAAGCCATCGAATGTATACGAAATGTTCGAACTTTCTCGAATTCAGTCAAAACCCTTTGTTCAGTTTTAAATCTGTAAGATCTGTTAACGTTCAGGTGCCAGAGACGACAATCATGGATGATTGTGAAGAGACTGAGGCACGCAATCCTTTACCTGATCATAAGGTTTAGGGTTTAATGGAGTCATTTCATTTTGTTTGCATATGTTAAATGAAATCATAAAATCATTTCCTACTTCATTCTAATCATTTTCATACTTCATACTATATAGGTTTCTCCAAGACTTGGTATTTTCCATATTCTTCGGGAAATAAATCAAGAGCATGAGAATCCACCTTCCACTCTTTTTGATTCTGTTCTAAGTTTGGAGAACAGAATGGTAAAGTTCTACTCTTAACTTACAACTGCATTGTCCTTTCGAAAATAGATTCATATTTTTGTTCTTGTCTGCAGGCTGAGTCTACCCATGAGACAATTGGAACAGAAGCTGCTGCCTCAATGAAGCCTCTGCAGGAAATTGTAAAATTCCAAAACTTACTTCAAGTTCCTTCGAATTAGAATCGAAGCTTTCAAAAATAATACGAATTATCTGTAGGTTGAGTCTAGTCATGAGGTAATGGACACAGACGCTGCTGCTTCTATGAAACCTCTGTAGGACAAGGTAAATTTCTAAATTTCATGCATTCGAAATGCAGTCAATATCTTCGAAGTATTTAGAACATGTTTATTTGCACTCTATTTAATGTAGGTTGTTTCTCCCCAGAAGGAATTTGGAGATGAGGATGATATTATTGATGCCCATGTGCATGAAAAGGTTTGGTATCTTACTTCAAGTGCCTTCGAATTGGAGTCAAAGATTTCTAAATAATTCGAATTATCTGTAGGTTGAGCCTAGCCATGAGGTCATGGAAACAGACGCTGCTGCTTCTATGAAAACTCTGTAGGACAAGGTAAATTTCTAAATTTCATGCATTCGAAATGCAGTCAATATCTTCAAAATATTTAGAACATGTTTATTTGCACTCTATTTAATGTAGGTTGTTTCTCCCCAGAAGGAATTGGGAGACGAGGCTGATATTATTGATGCCCATGTGCATGAAAAGGTTTGGTATTTTACTTCAAGTCCTTTCGAAGTTGAGTCGAAGATTTCGAAATAATTCGAATTATCTGTTGGTTGAGCCTAGCCATGAGGTCATGGAAATAGACAATGCTGCTTCTATGAAAACTCTGCAAGACAGGGTATATTCTAAATTTCATGCATTCGAAATGCAGTCAATATCTTCGAATTATTTAGAACATGTTTATTTGCACTCTATTTAATGTAGGTTGTTTCTCCGAGAAGGAATTGGGAGACGAGGCTGAAATTATTGATGCCCATGTGTATGGAAAGGTTTGGTATCCTACCTCAAGTGCTTTCGAATTTGAGTCAAAGATTTCGTAAATAATTCGAATTCACTTATTTTTTTATTTTAGAGATTGAAAAAGAAGTCAGCCAGTTTGAAGTCTCCATATACAGCGGACGGGAGGAAGAAAAAGAAAGCCAATGAACTCTTATCTAAGCCGCCAACTAAAGGAGATCTTTTGGAATTTAAGAGCTTCATCGTACAAGCTATTAAAACTGACCGCCTTGTACAATGCTGCCTCGAGCACCACAAGGAGCATGAGGAATTTGTGAAAACCTGGTGGACTGACCTTATCACTCCAGGTCTTTGGGTAGCGGATACTGTAAGTTGCATTAACCTTTCATTCTTCGTACACAAACAATGCTTATATCTTTCGTTTTCTAATAACATACTTTTGTTTGTTAACTAGCATCTGAGTGAGTACCTTTACGTCTTGAGAAGATGTTTATGCAATGACGATGGAGACTCTGTCATTGCGCCTTTTGAATTCACAACGTACGTGAACTCTTTTGCGTGAGACCCACAATGGCCTGTTTTGTCTGGACCCATTGAAAAGATTGTGGGTGGTACATACAGCGAGGGGCAGGAAGCATTTAAAACCAAAGCCTTGGAAAAGAACACTAAGTACGTATATTATTTGAAAGCCATGGGTACACATTAGTTCTGTGTCAAGGCTGACTTTGAGAGGTGCTGCCTCGTTGTGCTTGACTCCCTTTCAAGGATATATACGAATGAGGACATGCAACGTTTGCTGAAAGATGAACTTAAAGGGTTTTCAGGCATTGCTGGAATTAAAGAAATTGGAAAGCACGGATATGCCAATTGGGATATCGAATTATGCCCAGTACCCCAACAGAATGAATCAGATTGCGGCATCTTCGTGGTAAAAATGTTAGAGTTGGGAGCACAACATCAGGATTTTAAATCTTTGGAGAAGATGACAAAAGAAAAGATGGCCAACATGCGTTTAGAAATTGCTTACTACATATGCAAGGAGTACCAATGTAGAAACAAAAAATAAATTCTGTGGTAGATAAATATATTATTAATAAAATTGTGGTGGATACATATGATATCATGGAATAGCATATATTATTACATATATTATTAACAGTATTATTAATTATATTGTGGATACATATGATTGCATCGAATTGCATTCAGTTGCATGTAAACACGAGTAACTAATATTACGGGATTACATTCTAAAACTTGTTCATATAAAATTACATAAAAATCAATAATTCCATGAAATTAGCTCGGATCGATCTTTGAGTAATTTATTTTTCATCTCTTCAATATTTCGGTCTCTACACAAGCTGCTACAACTGCTAGCATTCCCCTAGATCAGGAGATTGGGTTTGGCTTGCATTTATAATGTCCGTTTGTTCGATCAGACAACACCATGCCTTTGCTGTAGCACACATGCACAGTTCGTCATCATGTGCTGTAGTAAAGGGATGCGTTATCTGATCGAAAAAACCATTACGACCGTATTATCTAATCGAAAAAACCATTACGGCAGTTGGAAAAGGACAACGTACTTGAAATATCCATTTCTATCAATAAATGAAAGAAAGGTAAGAAATTCTGATGTGGGTAAAGAAATAGGATTGTAAGATATGGTTAGAAATTCTGATGTGGGTAAAGAAATAGGATTGTAAGATATGGAATACATTGATGAAGAATACCAAGTGTGTAGATAATGAAAATAGGGTAAGTGGGATAGGGGGGATATATGAATTTATAAGGGTGATTGAATATGAATTTAGAGAGAGGGGTTTAGAAAACGAATTGGATGTTGGAAGGAAGGATTGAGTGTGCTTGGGAAAAACAATATAATTAACAATTAATAATAATTATAATAATAATAGAGCGGGCCGTTGAGATAAATAAATTTCCTAGAAGAAATAAACTTCGACTATCCCAACTAATATTTGAATGAATTTCGAACTAAATTTAATTCGGGTAGATAAAGCGGTTAAATCAGGTTTTATTACTCTCAATGATTTCTAAGAGTTTAGGAGGTTAACTGAGTTTTTAATTTCGGTCATTAATTAGAATACCTTAATGATAATAATAATAATAATAATAATAATAATAATAATAATAATAATAATAATAATAATAATAATAATAATAATAATAATAATAATAATAATAATTATAATGAATAACCTTTGACTGTCCCGACTAATATTTGAATGCATTTCGAAGGGACTTTTCACCGTAATTAGTTATAAATTAAAAAGGATGAAGATAAAGAGCAGTCAAATCAGCTTTTATTACTCTCGTTAATTTCTAAGAGTTCAGGAAGTTAAATGAGATAATAATAATTACTCTCATTAATTACTCTCGGTCATTAATAATAATAATAATAATAATAATAATAATAATAATTATTATTATTATTATTATAATGATAATAATAATAATAATAATAATAATAGTAATAATTATAATAATAATAATAATAATAATAATAATAATAGTAATAATAATAATAATAATAATAATAATAATAATAATAATAATAATAATAATAATAATGTAGAGAGCCGTTGAGAATGAGATAAACAAATATCCAAAATGAATAATCTTCGAATTTCCCGACTACTATTTGAAGGGACTTTATTACCCTTATTACATGGATCACATGATTGCATGGAATTGCATGGAGTTGCATGTAAACACGAGTTACTAATATTACGGGATTACATTCTAAAATTTGTTCATATAAAATTACATAAAAAATCAATAATTCCATGAAATTAGCTCGGATCGATCTTTAAGTAATTTCTCTTTGTTCTCTTTAATATTTCGGTCTCTACACAAGCTGCTACCCCTGCTAGCATTCCCCTAGATCTGGAGATTGGGTTTGGCTTGCATTTATAATGTCCGTTTGTTCGATCAGACAACACCATTACTCTTCGTTTGAATCAATGTTGCAGTAGTAAAGATGCGTTATCTGATCGAAAAAACCATTGCTTCCCTAGAATTACATGGATCATATGATTGCATGGAATTGCATGGAGTTGCATGTAAACACGAGAAACCATGCCAATTGCTTCCCTAGAATAGAACTTCTCTTGCAGTGGAGTGGAGCATGGTTGATTCTGTGTTTTTCCTTGTGGAAAACACGACAATAACAACACCAATTGCTTCCCTACACGAGATAAACCAGAAGATGCCGTGGAGCATCTTCTGCAGTAATGGATAAAACAGATAATGGTATACGAGATAAGCATTATGACCGTTTTGCCTTATCGAGATAACCATTAGGACCGTTTTACAAAATTGTGTAAAACCATTACGAACAACGTATATGAATGATCCATACCTATCAATCAATGAAAGAAAGGTGAGAAGTTTTGATGATGGTAAAGAAATAGGCTTGTAAAATATGGAATACATTGAAGAAAGTGTGTTTATAATCTGGAGAGGGTGCAATGTATTTATAGGGATGGGGGCGTATTTGAATGTTTGAATGTATTCGAAGGGATTTTTATTTGACTAATATTTGAATGGAATCGAAGGGACTTTTACACCCTAATTAGTACGGAGTAATTAATTACATGAATGAAGATATGTGTGAACGGTTGGCATCCAATTCTGGTAGATAAAGATATGTGTGAATGGTTGACATTCTTACATAAGGTTTAAATTTCGGTCTTTATTATTCACTAACGCGAATAATAATAATAATAATAATAATAATAATAATAATAATAATAATAATAATAATAATAATAATAATAATAATAACAATAATAATAATAATAATAACAATAATAATAAGAATAATAATAAGAATAATAATAACAATAATAATAATAATAATAATAATAATAATAATAATAATAATAATAATAATAATAATAATATCCTAGAGAAATAAAATTTCGATCATTTCGACTACATTTGGAACGTATTCGAGGGCATGTTATAAAATAATAGATTACACGATAGAACTTTATTAAAGAGTGGAATACGAACATCAGAATGCGATCAGTCATCTTTAAAAATTTTCTTTGATTTTTAAGACGTAGGAGATGACTTGTTTAGTTAAAAATATGTGGTCAATTAAGAGTGGTCAATTCAGATTTTATTACTCTCATTAATTTCTAAGTGTTCATTAGCTTAAATGTGCATTGAATTTCGTTCATACATAAAAATACTAAAATCATAAAAATTGATAAAAATAAAAATCAATTTTATAATAATAATAATAATAATAATAATAATAATAATAATAATAATAATAATAATAATAATAATAATAATAATAATAATAATAATAATAATAATAATAATACAGCGGGCCGTTGAGATTAATAAATATCCAAAAAGAATAAAATTCGACCATCTCGACAATTATTTGACCACATTTCGAATGGGACTTTTACACTCTTAAAAAGAATTCTTGTTTTATAAATTACCTTACTTTCAATGACTAATGGAAGTTTGTAATTAAAAGAGCAGTGAAAAGAATCTCTCCAAACAATAAAACTTCTGAATTTTAATATAAAAAGTTTTTATTAGAAAATACATAAAATCAAACTTCAAATACGCATAAAAAAATATTATGCGTATTTCAGGATATGGATGAGAAAATCACAACCACCAAGATGATCAAAAAACAGGACATGACTCTCATTGAGGCCGTGATTCTCAACAAACGCTGGCCATGATTCCCTGAAGAACATATTGCCATGGCTACATGCTTGAACCTTTACTTCAAAAGTGTGTGGCGCTTGTTTGGAATGGAGAGTCACAACTGTGTTATTCGAGAAACAACATTGAACATGTTCGGGTAGCGCCTACAAAAGATCCAGAGAATTTGTGAGTTATAAAATATAACTTTAAAAAAAATTCAAAAAATATAATTAAAAATATATGAACAAACTAGTCGCTCTTTGAACTTGGGATCTCACTCGAGGATTACTGTAACATCGAACATAATGATCTTTTTTATTTTCGCAAGCAATACGGAACAGAAGAACGAGAAAACCCTAAAGCTAGTTGCGTATTTATATAGACCGAGCAAGGCGGAAAGGGACGAAAATGGTAATAGATGGTAATTTTTAGAAGAGTCCCGCCATTTCATGAATAGGCGGGACGGATAAATTTAGTCCGCCATTTCATGAAAAGGCGGGACGGGAAAATTTAGTCCGCCTTTTCATGAAACCAGAAACAGTGCGACTAACACAAAATGAATAGTACTCCAGAGTGTAACTATAGCAATTATGTTCGGACTTCGGACCGTGTTAATGAGGAGTATTATAAATAAAAATAGTAAAAATCTAGAAACAAGGTCGTACCTGTTGGTGTTAACAATTAAGAGCTTAATTGTAGTTAAGAGCCTAACTGTAGCATGGTCGTACCTGTTGGTGTTAACAATTAAGTTTGGACTGCAGTAGAGGTAGCAATCCAGTTACGAGTTTAACTGTAGCAAGGTCGTACCTGTTAAGAGGATAACTGTTAGCCACTTGTCAGGTGACAACAAATTAACCTATTCCCCAATTACTACACACTTATAAACATGGTAGCAAAGTGGTAAGTAGGGTCATTCTTCCACAGGGAGATTTGTCTTCTATTATTTCTTCTCTTGGTTTATTGCTCAGTTTCCACAACACACACACGCAAGGGGGGGGGGGGGTTGTTCATAAGATGCTAATGCTACGTAATGAAAACAGATTCTAACAGAAACAATGGGAACAGATCAAAGAAGGAGAGAGAAGATCAGGTAAAGATTTGTGATTATCAAATAGAGTGAGCAAGCTTGTCTGGTGGAATTAGGAATAGTTGTTCAGA